TGCTGCTGTATCCGATAGGCAACAATAAACTAAAGAACACAAAATTGATCGCTGCATTTAAGTATTGCATTAATATTTAAGCTTACCTTTTAAATTCTTCTGTTGCCAATTAATTTAAAGATAATCTGATATACATAGATCGTTACTTTCCGTAGAAACAATTATTTTTATTTCATGGGGGACTTTCGCTGGATTTCGTAATTAATTTAAGTTATTCCCAAATTTATTTCGAAGTTATAGAAATTGTTATCGCACAAAAATTTCGACGTAAAAAAAATGACGTAAAAAATGGCCGAAAACAATCGCAGTCATGAAAAATTGGGAATTCAGGATTGCGGGTTCGAATCTGTCTGGAATATTTTTTAATTTGCTCGCGGAGTCGGCCTGATTCCAAAATGGTATATGTTGGGTTACGTCCTTTAAGAGTAAAGTTTAAAAAGTGTGAAACACTGGCACACTGACATTCGCATTTATTTATATAGACAGAAGAAGACGAGATATTTAAAAGTTGGAGAGTTGTGTCCCTTTAAATGAAAAACTGTGACACACTGATATTCGCATTTATTCATATAGATAGAAGATGAGATATTTCATAATCATGGATTTTGATTTTTTTTACGGCTTATCAACCCTTTGCACGTTATTTAAAACCAGAAAATATTTTTGGATTCTAAGAATTTTCGGAGATAATAATAATTTGCTGATACAAGCCCTACTATTTAACACATAGCTTGGAAATGTGGATTCCCGTGCTATTTACCTTGAGCTCCTTGATAAAATGCAAAGAAGAATCAACAATATTATAGGTCCTGATCTGGCGGCTCGGCTTCAGTCACTTTCCCACCGCAGTAAGGTTGCCTCTCTGTGTCTTTCTCTAGAAATACTTTCATGGTAATTGTTCGGATGAGCTCTTTACTATAGTTTTGTTCATTTTAATAAATATTCATTGGGAGTAGGTTTTTAAATTGTTATTTTATTCCCTCACACCGGACAATGAATTTTACATATGGGGACTAGTTAGGACTTTCATAGAGACAATGAGGTATTATGGTGGGTGTAGTAAGAAAGGTAAGTAAGAATGTGTTGTTACGGTGTTGGGAATATTCTTTGTATGTTTGGGTCACTGTTTGTGGCTAGCTGATTTTACTGTTGAGACAGAACAAGACCGTCCTTTTCCCCATTCCCTATTTTGGCCTTGTGCCACATTTTGTATTTTTATGAATAATAATCGCTCTTCACTATGATGTCTCGATTTTTAACCTCAGCGCAGTACGAGACTGGCGTCGAGATCTCGTCAGTTTACATCTAGATGTCGCCATAAATTCTATGCTAATAGTTTCTTTTCACAAACCTCCCGCTCTCGACTCCATATGCTTTACAGTCAACATTAATCGGAAAAATTTTAAATGCAACGTTAGTCGCTATCTACCTTCCGCCTGATTATTCTCATTTCTTTCTACTCATTAGTAATGTTCCTGTTAATAATTCTTCCACATCCCTTGTATCTTAGTGGCTTTACTGTCTTGCTTGGAGTGAAATCGATTTAAAAAAAAAAATGGTTATTTACGCGTGACTGAACATAACGGACCTCAATGGAATTGCAACTCGGCTCTCCGATTACCAGTCCGAGTCTGTTATCCATTACACCACTCGCACATCCAAGCTTACAGCACCTGGCAATCCTGAGCGGTTACCCATTTAGATACTAACCAGGCTCGACGCTGTTTAACCGATGATGGGACGAGAACCGGTATTTCAACGGTGAATTTTTAGTGAACCTATCAAGGCAGAACCAAGATTTATTTGTGGGAAAATGCGTGTTTAATTATTTTATCATCTTTTCTATCCAACATCGGATCGGCTCGTTTATTTCAGAGTTTAGTTGGGAAAACTTGCAATCAAAGAAATTTGGCTTCCTCATAAGATTTCGCTTGAGGACCAAACACAACGTTCGACCATCTGCAGCAGTGATTTAACCATGAATAACAACCTTTCATTTCTGTATCAAATTCTTGCAGGTGATGAAAAATGGGATTTGCCTGTGAGCAAGAAACGAAAAAATACAGTGGTCATCACAAAATGGGAAACCTGTGCCAACACCAGAGACGGAGTTCTATCCAGAAAAGTCATTTGTTTGTCTTTGGTGAAATATGAAATGTGTCGTCCATTACGAACTATTGAATCATGGGAGGACTATCTATAAGGATGCGCGATGCCAGCAACCTAATCGGGTAAACAAAGCATTATATCGAAAGAGTCCTGCTTTGTTAAACAGAAAAGGTGTTATTCTCTTGAGTATGGCAATGTAAGGTCACTATCTGCAAAACGATATTGATTTATTATTATTATTATTATTATTATTATTATTATTTGTGTATGTTATGTTTCCTGCTTTGTATCCTGTAGAGTCGGGTCCAAACAATGGTCCTTAGGCCCTATAGAAGAATTGTCATTTAATTGATAGCGCTTTTCTAAGTATATGGCATGTTCTTCGTAAGGCGATCTTCTGGGCAACTTGTATGTTGATGTTACCTGGGACACTGTTAGTAAAATTGTTCATTCCTTTTCTCACGAGGCCCAGACTCCGATTACTATTGGTACAATCTCAGTCTTCATTCACCACATCCTGTTAATCTGGATCTTCAGGTCCTTTTATTTGGACAATTTCTTGATAATTTTTTATGGAAATGTTTCTCTCAGATGGTACTGCCATGTAAATAAGCATAAACTCCAGGAATTTCTTGTCTTTTCTGATAATATCAGATCTGTTGGCTTTTATTTTCTTTGTCAGCTTGAATTAGCATGTCCCAGAGGATTTTTACATCGTTATTTTGGGTAATTGTGTCTGGTTGGTGCTCATACCATCTCTCAGTGGTTTCGATTTTGTGCTTCTTGCATATCTTCCGGTGCACATATGTCGGTACTTTGTTATGTCTGTGGATATATTCATTTTTTGCTATTTTCCGGACATCCTGAGACAATAGGGTCGACAGTTTTATCATATTTTCCGCAGATCCTACTTTTCAGGTTAGTTTCATCCTTGATTATGTGACAGTTATAATATCTGGTTGCGAGGCTTTGGTCCTGAGCTGCAATAATTAGGCCTTCTGTCTCAGTTTTCGGCCCGGTGCTCCTCGGCCACTGATGTGTTTCCTGTGGCTGAGGATCACCGGGATGAAAACTGAGAAAACTATTATTATTATTATTATTATTATTATAAAAAGAATTATCAAATAGCCAGAATAACTGGTAATCCAAAGTTGGCATATCTAGTGAATACAGTGGATTATTGAAAGCTCTAATTGATTTTTTTCCTGATAATTCTAGGAACATATGCTGTGGCGTAAATATTACGCCTTTTCTTTTAACTAATTCCGGTTGGACGTTTTTCTTTGGTTGCTGTCTTCATATAACTTGGAGCAGTACTTGTTCAAATCAACCGTTTGGTTCTTTGATAGGAGATAATAAAAGAAAGAATGTTGTGATAAAAAAGCTGTTAAAGAGTAAAAGCAATAAAACTACTCGAAAAAGACATATGTTTAAAAAGATTCTGAACTGAATATCGTGTTTTTCTTGTCAGAAAAATGACCAAGGTCTGTAAAAACGCATATGTCGTGGTCAGACAGTAATGTCTGCAGGGCTATTTGTTTCTTATGAATAATAATCATGTGTTTAGGTTAGAATACGGTCGAACAAACAACAGATCAAGAAAGGAATGAAGTAGTTTTTTTAAAGATGGTGAGATATGGCCGACTTTCTTCGTGATTTTGTTTGTTTGTTTGTTTGTTTATTGAAGACCGCTTGCAAAGTAGTAATGAGATCTTTGGGCGACGGAAGTAAAAGAAACGAATAGATTCTTGTATTCTGTCCGTTTAAAACTCGCCTGGTTAGAATTTTGAATAATGTAATTTTCCCTCTAAGCGACAAGCTGATCCCCCACCACCACCACCAACACCAACACCGCCACCACCGCCACTTCACGATTTTTTCTTGTATTTTCGTCTTTTCCGCTTCGTTTTCGGCGCCATTCCTCTCCCCGGTTTGCATAATTAAGATGCTGTAAATAATTCTATAGCTTTATTCTAATGAATACTTATACAGAGTCGTTGTTCGACCCCCATTAAAAGCCATGATAAAGATGACTTAAAGACATGGAAACAAAACAGACACGCGTAAGAGACGCATAATGAGAAAAGAGGACTTGGAAAATTTGATACTCAAAGGACAGATTGAGAGACAGCGGAAAACAACGCAAAACCTACCTAGTGAGCGTTGGTTGATTTTGTTTAGCGACATATCAACCTCGACAGGTTATTTAATGCCGAAATCTAAATCTTTTGAATACAGTTTTATGGTCTTAACTTAATATATTTTGAACGTAATTTCATGCCATCAGTTACAGATGTACTGTTGCCCATTTTGCTATAAAATGTATTGCTAGTCATTTTTTTTCATAAAAATGTATCGAAGGTATTTTACTATAAAAATGAATATTTGTACTTACGTAGCGTTTTACTTTGTTTGGGAGTTCATATTTGTTGTGACCCTACCAACCCGGGTGAAGGCGAACCTGGAAACGAAAACAATTAAAGATGGTTTTCAGGTTCCTCAAAACCTCCAATATCCCGATTAGAGGTCTTGCTGACGGATGTAGTTTATAGCCATGTCCAGGATTAGTAAGACAGGATTTATTAAGAGCTACAAAGGAAGGAAACAGTGGAGAGCTATGATCGAGACACGGTACATAGGAAGTAGACCTTTGAAGATTTTGGGAATATATTCAGCGTGTATAAATATCGAATGTCTATTAGAAATAGCGCCAAACTTTCGTTTATACATTGGGTGAGGTTTCGACTCGTTGTTGTAAATACCCGAAAATAAAAACATATAAAAAGGAACAATTCCGAAAATCTCTGTATAAATGGAAAATGGTGAGATTCACTGTTTGACTGTTTATAGTCAGCGAGGTGAAAACTGAGTGGTGAAAAAAACAACAAACATCAGAGTATGAGAATGGAGAAGAGTATCGATAGAGGGCGAAAAAAAGGAAGATTACGAACAATAAATAAAGAGCGGGAAGAGAAAAGGATCCTGGTAGAATTAAAGTAAGGACAGGGTGGAATAAATAAAGGCAAAGAAAGAAAGAAAGAAAGAAAGAAAGAAAGAAAGAAAGAAAGAAAGAAAGAAAGAGAGAAGAAGAAAGAAAAAGAAAGAAAGAAAGAAAGAAAGAAAGAAAGAAAGAAAGAAAGAGAGAAGAAAGAAAGAAAGAAAGAAAGAAAGAAAGAAAGAAAGAAAGAAAAGAAAGAAAGAAAAAAAAAAAGAAAGAGAGAGAAGAAAGAAAGAAAGAGAGAAGAAAGAAAGAGAGGCGAAGGAAAGAAAGAAAGAGAGAGAGAATGAAGAAAGAAAGAAAGAAAGAAAGAAAGAAAGAAAGAAAGAAAGAAGGAGAGAAGAAAGACAAAGTAAGGAAGATATAAAGAGAGAGAGAGAGGAAGAGATATGTTGCTATGCGATTCGTTGCATTTTTGGACCGATTTATAAAAAATCAGTAAGATTAAATTAAAAAATTCTTACGCAAATCGACCACCATTAACATCAGCTCCTTCGTCTTCAGTTCTCTTTTCATTCAGACAATGAGTCACTCGTGCCGCGAAGACAAATGATATATAAATCAATAAAGAAGAATTAAAATAACTGAAATACAGGGTGTGTCCTTAAAGTCTCTTTACAATTTAAGCAATATCAAAGTTTTTAATCACGTTGCATTTGTGTTTTTCAGGTTTCCTGATGATGAAAGAGGTACTGTTAAATGAACCCTTAAGGTTTCCAGACCGTTGGATTCGAAGAGATGACCCAATTCCCTAGTCACCTCTTTCACTAGATATCACCCTGGACTTTCACCAGATATCACCCTGGACTTTCACCAGATATCATATAAAGTAAAAAATCTGGTAAAATTAAATGATATAAATAAAATTAAAATAAAAAATTGTAAAAATTTAACAGTGCAAAAAAAATAACGAAATAAAATTCACCCAGTGGATAAATGTTTTAGTAATCCAGTGACTTGACCAAAAGAGTTGTGAGTTCAATATCTGGTCACAGCAGCGGTGAACAAAAACTTGGAGAGCGGAGTTACTGAAAGGAAATAACTGAAACTGAAAAATCCGGAAGAGGCATGTGACGTGGACCTAGAACAATATACCCCGATGGACGAAATAATCGGTTCGAAATTCCAATAACCTGAAGAAGGCCGGAGCGCCAATGGCCGACTTGAGGCTACAGAGTTGTGGTTCTATAGAAGGATGCTGAGAATACAAAGAAAAGAGTGCTTAACTGCTATGTAATATCAATCCTCCTATATGGCAGTGAATGCTGGACAATCTCGTCACAGATGAAGAGGAGACTTGAGGCTACAGAGATGTGGTTCTATAGAAGGGTGCTGAGAATACAAAGAAAAGAGTGCTTAACTGCTATGTAATATCAGTCCTCCTATATGGTATTGGATGCTGGAAAATTTCCTCACAGAGGAACAGAAGTAAAAGTTAAAAGTGTTTAACTGCTATATGGTAGTTACTACTGGACCTAAAGACTACATCACCCCCGCTAAAAGGATTTAAGGAGGTCAGAGTTCAGTTAAAATCTGCAATAGAATTTACGGTGAAGAGTGGGAGGTCGAACAGAAGAAAAAGATATTCCTAAACGGGTAACAATAAAAAATAAGAAGGAAATCAACTATGTCGTCACTTCAGGAAACAAAGTGACGGAATTTTAGATGAAATAACGCGCAGAGGACATCTGAAGGAAGAAATTAAATCATTATTAATAACTTCTTAAAGCCAATAGGAACTACTTATAACAGTTAAGATAGGCATGATACGGGATATTTGCAACTGCAGATGAAACTATAAATGTAATAAACAAATACAAGTTAGCTCTGAAGGGAAAAAAAGAAGTAAGTATGACTGGGTGGCAATGGTGTTCCAGTAGGAACTGTGCAAACGTTAAGGATTTAACCATACAAGCCTATATACTGAAACCAGAATCTTAGAGAATAAAAATTAAATAAAATTCTCTATAGCATTGCGATTCTAGCAGATCACCCAATCTAGGCTATAAGACTGGATCTAGTTATCGGAAACAAAGAAATGGAGATCTGTTAGATTTCGCCAGTTCAGCATAGCACAGAATAGCATGGAAAGGAAATGAAAAGTTGAACAAATATCTTGGCATCGAAAGAGACCTGAAAAAATTATGGAACATGAAAGTGACAATTTCTTTCTGCATTTTCGGGATGAGGACTAATCGTTAAATGTCTTCATCTTTGTTATTATTATCAAAATGTTTCGGCCGTTGAATTTTCCGGAACAATAACGTTGTGGATAAAAGCATTGGTTAATGAATTTGGTGATATAGTAAATGTAGGTTCTATCCCTTTGCCAGGAAGTACAAACTCAGAGACTAGGTAAGCAATAACTGAGCAGTACTAAATAAAAATAAGACGATATGTCCCTAGACATGAGCAGTGAAACGAGAAGAATCTAACCCTGTAGATTGAATAAAGTGTTTAGTTCTAAATTCCCTGAATGTTACTCGGATCGACAAACACCTAAATAAGGTTGAAGAGTATAACGGCCGAAAACGCTATGATAATAATAACAAAGTTTAGGATAAATAACGAAAAGTTGTGCCCACTGTCGTTAGAGAACTGGGACTCTAATAAAAAAAATGTCTTGAATGATTCGAAAACTGAGTAAAACAGCTCCATTATGCAGACGACATCAGTACATATGGGTACTGAAGATTTTTTGAGTTAAGGATTTTTCTTATATATATTACAGTAAAAATCTGACGAAAGCCATTAAGAGACGGTTTAAAAAAGTCTATTCCGATGTTGAGGTAATTTTTGGCTTTTGCTGTAAAAAATACATATGCTCTGTTAAAATAAAAAAATCGAGCTCTCTGAGGATCAGTTTTAATAATTATTATTACTAGGATCCACCCGGATTATATACCAACGGATCGATTACCTGTACTATATATATATATATATATATATATATATATATATATATATATATATATATATATATATATATAAAAATATATGGATATAGATCCGACAGTATGAAGAAAAATATACGGAAAAAACAAACAAAATCCTTATATACAATTATGATGTTTTAATGTAATATCGTCTTTGTCGGACGTTTCGGTCTGATAAACCATCTTAATTATATTCATAAAATATAATTAAGATGGTTTTCTTATGACCGAAACGTCTGACGTCGACATTGATTATAATTAAAACATTTTATAATTGTATATAAGGATTTTTGTTTTTTTTTCCGTATATTTTTCAAAAATATTGACATAATAAATCGTTTTTTTTTGACGTTAAAAATACGTCAAAAACGACATTATTACGTCATTATTTTTGGTATCAACTTATATATATATATATATATATATATATATATATATATATATATATATATATATATATATATATATATATATCGGAATATGTCACAGTATAATTCTCGGTTTGTTTGTGTACATCTTTCGGTTTAGTTCGATAAATGCGGTTTATTTCTTAATATATTTCGTTACAGTTCTTGCTTTATTTCGATACATTTCTCTGTTTATATGTCTGTACATTTCGTTGTATATTTCGGTATATTTATCGAAATATTTCGTGAAGTATTTCTACGTATATATCTAGATTTATTTCAGTATATTTCTCGTTATATTTCGATGTATATCTCGGTATATGTCACGGCACATGTCTCGGTTTGTTTCTGTATATCTTTTGGTATATTTCGATATATGCCTCGTTATATTTCACGGTTTTTTTTTTTTGGTATATTTCTCGGTATACTTCCTCACAGTTCTCGGTTCGTACGGAAAAGTTATATATTTGTCTCGGTATATTTCTCTGTATATTTCGGTATATTTATCAGAATATCCAAGTATTTCTAGATGTATTTCGGTGTATTTCTCTGTTTATTTCACTATATGTCGTGGTATATTTCACTACAATTCTCATTATATTTCGATATATATCTCGGTATATCTCACGGTACATGTTTAGGTATATTTCGATATATTTTTATTATATTTCACAGTTTATTTTGGTATATATCCGAGAAACAGACTGAAATAAACCATTTTAGTCTGTTTCTCGGTATATTTATCTATATATTTCGGCGTAATTCTCAAAATATTTTGGTATATATAAGTATATTTTTTCGTACTGCATTACTTCATACTTCTGGTGTTCACTCGATAGAATTTCAGTTCTAATAAATCTTTCTTTTTTTTTTTTTCTTGGGGTATATTTCTCTACTATCTTACCCAGGAATTGAATTCACAATTTGTATTAAACCAGATGAACCTTACCACTACTTTCATCTGCTAGGACATTGGTTACCAGAGTGTATGCTACGACGCCAAGCGGACCTGCAGCAAAAACTCAGGGACGCCGCGAGATACTCTAAAATTTTAATTCGGTCATACGCCAACATAAACGAAGCGTATGGATTGGCTCTAAAGTGGGTTATCGATTTATAATGTATCTTTAATGGAAAATTGGATGCTCACTTTATATTTAAGACTTTTTAAATTCTCAATCGGATCTTTGCTTATTAACGTTAATTAGCTTCATACCAGTGCCAGTGGTCGGTGATGGAGTCCTGGTAAAAACCATTGTATAGAATACTGATTTGTAAGGCGGACAGACTGGCTTAGCTGAGCTAAAAATTGATACAATACAATCTTTCTACAATGCATCTCCCTCTCTGGTTTAGACACGGGATTGTACGAAGATAATCCATGCTCAAATATTGACTGCAGTAGTTGCGAATGTTCCACGGGCGCCAATAGCCGGTGTTCAAATCCACTTAAAAAAAAGATTTCAAATGCTGATTATAAAGGAAGATAAACATTCATTACTTGAAAAATTGCTCTAACTTAGAGATTACTCGAAAATTTGAATACGGTCTGACGTCGATTTACATTCATAGAGGACGCGAGGGAACAGGCTCTAAAATGGATGATTAATTTACAATTACGTATAATATAAAACTGAAACCCTGATTTATGTCCCTCTTTGAGACACGCGGTGTTCAATTTATAAATTATAGACGATCCGTACACTGTAAATCATCGATCATTCATTTCACTTCCATTTTAATAGTTCCTCTGTGTGAGGTGTTCCTTCAGGACGTGGGCGATCTTGGACCTTTCTATTTATCTCTCCACAACTTCCCATATATATATATATATATATATATATATATATATATATATATATATATATACGAAGATTTAATAAAAGTGAAACATGTTATATTGATATAGGTTTTCAATTTGTTCTTTATTTTATCATCCTGTGGGATTCCGATCCATATTTGATCTGCATTTGATCTTTAACTCATATATATATATATGTGTGTGTGTATGTGTATGTGTATGTGTGTGTGTGTCTGTGAGTGAGTGTGTGT